GTGATATTGTACCACATGATATTGCTAGAGACACGTGAAGCTGACACCACCTTATGTTTATCTTTGAATTCGTATTACAACATGAGAATGTTGTTTAGAGAACAAATGCATCAAGAAGTCTTGTTGTTTGGTCATGAAAAGATTATTTTATATTTCTCATTAAGTCATGTCAATGGCAATTAATTTGTTGTTGGCAGTTAACACCTGTTTCTAGGGGGAGGTAGATTCATCTTGAACCTATATGGGGTATAGTAGGGTTGGAAAAACATATGTCTTTCTAGGTAAGACATATGTAAAATATGTGTAAATTTTCTAAAACAGTTTGATAAAGACTCAAGTTTGGTAAATATGTTTTTTTTCATATATGGTCATGCATGGGTATGCATTTTCATCTTGTCATATATGCATATTTTTCTAGCTCAACTTTGTTGCTATGTCAGCAGGTTGTATAATTGGATTTAGGGTTTATAGGTGAGAAGCACATGAGCCTGTTTTCATTGTATTTTGTGTGTTGTGAATTTGTTGCAATGGATCAATTTAGTAAGGATCATAGATATGAATGGTTTGTTGATAAATGAGCAAGTTCTTGTATGGGTAAGTGTAAAATCGTTAGAAGGCTACAATATAAGGGATATAGCTACATCAATTGGTGTCTAATGATGCACATTGTATCACCATCATAAAAATATAGGCTAGAAAGCAATTTTATTGAAAAATGTTATCAAGGTTAGGCTTCTTCAAGATTTTCTCCCACAATATTAGAACTTGACAATGTGGGAGATTCTATATGTGAATGCAAAACTAAAGGATGCAGGTTGTGAGGTGATAAGATATGCAACAGCTTGTATTTTCCTGGAGTGAGTTGCACAAAGGACACTAGAGCAAATTCCTTGCATGCATTTCAATGTGAAGTCACCTATAGAACTTTGATGTATTGATAGTAAATGTCTCTAACCATATGAAATTAATTCTTGATACAACTCCATATTTGTAACTTTATTACAAACTAAAGCTTTGGGTATACAGAATTATTGATGTTGGTATATGTTTGAAGAGTATATGAAAAATGACTCACATACTATTTATTTATTTATATATAGATGCACTAGCATGCTCATGTTGATGAACAAAGGAAGTTTAACTTTTATAAATGCTATCATAGAGTAATAGTACAATTTTGCATAATGATTAGTTGGGGGAGTTAGGCATGTTTGTTTTTATTCTGTATTCAATTTGGGTTTAAACTTAAGCTTTATACTATATTAGTTAATGATATCCTCATATTAAGCCACTGATATGCTAAAATAGTGCCAAATTACATTTTGCTCCATTTACGTGCTAATCTTAGCGTTGGGATGTTAGATTCTTTAATACCATTCCAATGTCATTCCATATTCCTCTTCTTTCACTCATAAGTTATATGTTTGAGAGTTACTTTATGCTTTTGTCTTTTCATTCCTTAATTGTACATTCATGAGTTTTAGCTTGATTTGTTTGTTTAGAGGCCCAAGGCCTTGAAACTCGGTTTTGCTTCGTTACCTATAATATATATATTTAAAAGTTAAGTTTTACTCTATGGTTAACCTATGGTAATTCACTATAGAGTAAAGGGTAAAAACACATATGCTATAAATTTTCATATATACTTTTATCACTTTCTATTTTTTTAAATTTAACTTTCTTTATTTTTTAGGTATTTCAAATCTGTGTGGAAAGAAAATTCATGATCAAGCTCCCTGTTGAGGAGAGTGTCCAGTGAAGGACCATCATCCAGCTAGGACACAACAGAAATGAACTGTTGCATATTGGATATTGGATATGCAAGCGGTGGCCACACTGTAGCACAACCCATGGCTCCAACCATGGATCTCTGGGAGTTTTGCGGGCCACAAGCTCCCTGAGCTCGAAATCTTGTCTTGCTTCAAGCCCAGATCTCATCCTCAAAGCCGCGCGCGTCTGCAAGCAATGGCATCGCCTTGCACACTAACACTAGATCATCGCCTAGCATCACAAGTGGATGAAAAAGGAGGTTTTATAGATTGCGAATCGCACTTACGGGCTATTATTTTCTTACACCGGAATAGATGTTTGAGAGGAGAACATATGTACTAGTACCTCTTGGCGCCATTTCCACCACCTGCGTGGCTACTCTAGATCCAAGTTTTACCTCTCCATGCGTGTTGCAAGCACCCAATAGAGCTTGCCAGGCTATTGCATCGGCTTGCACTGGCATATGGTCAATCAAAGTTTTTGCTTGCTCAAGCCACCCAGCCTTTCCAAGGAGATCAACCATGCAGCCATAGTGATTCATTTGTGGGATCAATCCATAGTCATCGTACATCCTCGTCAGGTACTCGAGCCCATCTTCCAGGAGCCCAGCATTGCCACAACCAAAAATCACTCCCAGCAAAGTTATGTGGTCGGGTTCTATCCCTTCCAAGCTCAACTCTAGCAAGAGCTCCACGGTTTCACTGCCATGCCCGTTATGGGCATACGCTGCGATCATGGCATTCCAAGAGACAAGATCTTTTCTCATTAACTGGAACGTTCCTCTTGCTAGAACCAAGTTGCCACACTTTCCATACATGTTTACAAGCGCGTTTCCAAGGTTTGTGTCGAGTTGAGACCCATAGATTCTCTCGATTCTTTGGTGGATGTTTCTTCCTCGTGTTAGGCACGGAAGGCTAGCGCAAGCATCCACCGCTCCAATGAAAGTCACCGAGTCAGGCTTTATACCCTCCAGATCCATCTCTCTCAAAAGGTGGAGAGCTTCTCTCCCGAGTCCTCTCTCGGCATATCCACACAGCATGGCCGTCCATGCCACCACTCCTCGTCTCTCCACCAGATCGAATATCTTCCTGGCTTGCTCCAAGTTTCCACTGCGACAATGCAAGCTCACAAGAGCATGACCTACGAAGAGATTGGATTCTAAACCATCGGAGACAATCCTCGCAAAGACGCGTTCAAAGAGTGGAGTGTTTGGAGTTTCCAGCGAGCTTACAACGTTGAGATAAGTGATCTCGTCCGGCCTTAAGCCTTCGTTGTCCATCTTGCAAAGCAAGTGTAGAACATCACTGAATTTCTCATGCTTGACAAACATCGTCATCAGTGTGTTCCAGGCCACCACATTGTCGTGAAGAAGGATCTCAAACAAACTTCTAGCATCCTCCAAGCTCCCACACTTCGTATACATGTTCATCACACTGTTCCCCAGGATCACGCTGCTCGAGAGCCCAGCTTGGACGATCCGAGCGTGCAATTCTCGGCCCTTTTCTAGCGCACCAACATCGGCACAAGCATCCAAGATCGTCACAAATGTAACCACGTTTGCCTTCACCCCTTCCTGGTCCATCTCTCGAAACAATCTCAAAGCGTCCCAGCCATGGCTGTTTTGAGCGTAGACCGATATCATCCCTGTCCAAGTGACAACCCTCCTGCGACCATCCATCGACTCAAAAACTTTAGCTGCGTCGTCCACGCTGTGGCATTTGCCATACATGTTGAGCAGCGAGTTCCCAAGCATAGTGTCCGAGAGAAGCTGCTCGTCCTCCACAGCTATGCGATGGTGGATCTCTTTTCCTCGTTGCAAAGCAGCCATTGTGGCGCATGCGTCTAGAACCGCAAGATAAGTCACCTTGTCCGGCTTCACATCCATCTCCTCAAACAATCCCAAAACTCGAATGGAATACCCATTACGGGCATATGCTGAGAGGAAGGAGTTCCAGGAGACAACATCTCGTACCTCCATGCTCGAAAACACAATCTTTGCGTCGTCGATCCCACCACACCTCCCATACATGTTGATCACGCTGTTTGCCACAGCCAAGTCTTGATCACAGCCACTCTCATTGATAAGCCTGTGGATTTGTCGTCCGATATCAACGCTCAAGCCCGAGCAAGCATCGAGAGCACTGAGATACGTTACTTTGTGTGGCCTGGTTCCATCGAGCAGCATTCTCCGGAAGACTTCGATGGCTTGGGCGTGCTGCTTGTTCTTGGCCATGGCAGAAACCATGACATTCCAAGACACCACATTTCTCTCTCGCATGCTCTCGAAGACCAAGGACGCATCTTGGGTGCTGCCACACTTGCCATACATCTCCACCAGCAAGTTCTGAATGAATCGACTGTCCCGGTGCTCGCTCTTGCGCAGCTTGGAGTGCGCTAGCCGGGCTTGCTCGAGAGATTTCTCGACGCAGCACTTGCGGAGGATGCTGGCATATGTTGCCGCGTCGGTGGCATCGGTCACGCATCGAATTTCTTCTGCTAGTGTAGAGCGCGAGTTTGCGATTGCAAGCTCGCTAGTGGGAGGCATAAGCCAGCTTGGCCGTCATGAATCATACCAAAACTACACACTAAAAATAAATCAAGTTCTTTTGATACAAGACACTCTAAACGAAAGCTTCTTTGGCATGCCTCCTACACTCCTGGCGTGCTCGCTGAGGTTCTGGACGAGGCTGGCAGCGAGGCGACGACTCTAGCTGTTGGAAATCCACTCACGAATGTATGGAGAACTTGATATCACATCATTAGAGTTAAAAGGTCAGGGCATTACCATGTAATTCTCAAGTTTGATGACCGGCATGCTATGGATTATGATTCCAAGAAAAATGCTTGGGGAGCTCGTCCTTGCTCAGCGCCACTATACTTTCGGGGAGCGACTCCATGTAACACTTGAGATGGCGGTTCTTCTTGACGAAGCGCCAACACATTCTGCTCTACCAGGACGAGCACTTGTCAGATGAGAAAACTTTGATGAAGGGAGTAAGCGAAGTTAGCGTTGCATTCGTTCCTACCTTGGCCATGCCTTGACTATCGGTCTAGAAAAGAGAGAACATCATCAAGTGATCCGGATGACTGCGATCATGAATATGAAGACACAAAACATGGCAAAGATGAGAAGCCAAGTGTAGCATCCAGTGCTAAAGCCTCGCGAGTAGAGCTCGCCGGCTCTTCGAGTCACACGGTTCGCGGAGGCCAAGCTTCGCTCTACAGCCTCGCCAGTGGCATCCACAACCTGGACAGAGCAACAAATCATGTCAGAAAGAAAAGAAAGAATCCTGAAAAAAAAAAAAGAACAATTCTAGGAGATGATTTGGAACAAACTTTGTCTGTGTCTTGCAGGGATTGTTGCATGAGCAGTGTCGACTCTTTCATGTGTCGAGCTAACGCCACCATTTCATCTGTTAGATCGTCCTGGAGTCGCCTGAGCAAAAGAAGAACTTAAGGTACGATCCAGAAAAACAAAGAGAAAGTACCGATGCTTTCCAATGAATTCATGAGTGGCACTGTCGAGTTTCACTTCTTCTTTTGAAGGACCAGGCTCGGGATCGTCACGATGGATGCTGCTTGGCCGAAAGAATAACACAAGACAAGAGCAAGAGATCAAATGATCATGTAGTAGACTTGATAACTTACTGTCTCTTTCGAAGATTGCGCTCGGGAACTGGAGTTTCGGCAGGAGTCGCCGAGAATTCGTCCTCGACATCGGCGTTCGAGGTAGAAGTTTTGAGCGCATCCCACATATCTGCCTAGTTTTTTTTATCCTCGTAAAGAGAAAACACAAAAGGAAAAACGTTTCTAGCTTACCATTTGTGTGACGTTGATCTTCTCGGCAAACGCTTCAATCTGTTCGCCATACTCTCGGGCTTTGTCCATTGAAATGCTGCCATGGATGGAAGAAAACTTGTTAGCAATGAATGAATCAATATTTTTCCCATCCTTTTAGCTAAGATCTACCTGGGAAGATTTTGCTGGGCGTTCTCTCCCGTGAGAACAGTGAGGAGCTCTCTAGCCGTTGCCACATACTACAATCCCTCGTCAAAATCGATCGTATCAGGGCTCCAATTTAATCAATGCTTACATGGACGAGCTTGCGCTCATTCTCCTGCCTGGGCATCGACGCCAGCAGCCTCCGCAGCTTCACCTCCGCCTTGCTCAGCCCCATGATCGATCGATCACTGTATTTCTCAAATTTTAGGGTTCTTGAGCTACATTTTCATGGAAATTTATTTTCCATGACCTCCGTTGACCTCCATTGACTTTAGCTTGACCAACAGCCTGGTCTCAACGATCTCTCTGGACGAGTGCTTTCTTGGGTTGATCATAGTCCCTCCATATCAGAGAAGGACGATGGCATTGGGGCTATTAATTTAGTGCATGGATCCAAAAATGGCGAGCTAGATTTAATAGAGCACAAGACACTGCCAAACACACAGTATAATCATGATCGCATCGCATCTTGCAGCACCTTCGCTCGGCATTTTCCATGCGCCTACACGTCCCTAGCGACTGATTCTCTCGTGGAGAGCTCGTCCTTGTTTAATGGCATCGCCACCATCGCTGGAGCAAGCTCCCAGCGCGAGCAAGGGAGAGACTGTGCTCGGTTTGCAGTAGCACTGCACGAGGCAATTGGCAATGGAGAGATGATTGCCTCCACGGTGAGCGTCGAATGGAGAAGATCGTCGCGAGACGTGGAGCTATGATAATAGACGCATTACAAGGAGATGTGGTTGGAGGACGTCCTCCCCCGTGCGGCGTTGTGGCGATTGATTGTGATGGAAGTCGGATGCTCGCCACCGAGAAGCATTTGATAAGCTGTTTGCCACAGTCAAGTCTTGATCACAGCCTCTTTCGGTGACAAGCCCGAGCAAGCATCGAGAGCACCGAGATATGGTATTGTTTGTGGCCTGGTTCCATTGAGCAGCATTCTCAGGAAGACCTCGATGGCTTGGGCGTGCTGCTTGTCAGAAACCATGACATTCCAAGACACACATTTCTTTCTCGCATCCAAGTACGCATCTTGCACTTGCCATACATCTCCATCTGAATGAATCGACCGTCCCGGTGCTCGCTCTTGCGCACCTTGGAGTGTGCTAGCCGGGCTTGCTCGAGAGATTTCTCGATGCAGCAGGATGGTGGCATATGTTGCCGCATCGGTGGCATCGGTCACGCATCGAATTTCTTCTGCCAGTGTCGAGCTTGCTCGCTCGTATAAGCCAGCTTACGAATCAAGTTCATATGATATAAATATAGGGATAAGGAAACCTTTTTTCCCCGCGACTATAAAAGGTACCCACCAAAGAGATACTTTAGAAGAAGACGGAGCCAAGCATGGGAGCGTTTGATGCTCTGGGCGATGATCTAGTGCTCGACATCTTGTCTCGCCTCAGCCCAGCAGATATAATCCTCAAAGCCGGGCGCATCTGCAAGCAATGGCATCTGCTTGCACGCTCACAGGAGCTCAGGGAAGCTGTGGCGCGCAGGGCAGCCGGAGATCCATGGTTTGGAGATCTGGAGCCATGGCTTGTGTTACAATGTGGCCGCCGCTTGCTCTTGTATCCTTCACTGGACGCTCTCCTCAACAATCAGGGCAGGGAGCTTGATCATCGCTCCTTCTCCGTCGGTCCGCCGGGACACCGGTTTTGCTTCGTGGCGTGTTCGCTGGGGCTTGTGTGTGGGAGGCTGGAGGATCTGGACCAGACTGGCAGCGAGGCCATGACTTTAGCTGTTGGAAATCCACTGACGAATGCGTGGAGAATTCTTCCCCGTCTTGATGTCAAGGAGAAGCCGTGGGAATACGTCTTTAGAGTTACGAGGTCAGGGCATTACCATGTGGTTGTCGCATTTGCCACGCTCGTCATGGATTATAATTCGAAGACAAAGGATTGGGGATCTTATCATGATCCTGATCGTTTGATGGCAACTCCATACTTCGTGGGATCATGTGTCGAGGGCATATTCGTGTTGCGGGTGGACAAAAGGTCATTGTCATGGAGGATCTCCTTGACGAAGGACCAACACGTCGTATTCTACCAGGATCGGCATCATTTCTCACATGAGAAAACTTTGACGACGGGAGTAAGCAATGTTACCATGGCATTCCTTCCTACCTTAGCCATGCCTTAAAACAATCTGGACGTATACTTTTAAAAACTTTGAGCAAGTTACATAATCTTTGGAGCAGATGTATGAACAGTGTTACTACCAGCTTAGAGACTCGTGCTTGTCAAGAGATCCGGATGACTGCGATCGTGAATATGAAAACACAAAGCATGGCGAAGATGAGAAGCCAAGAGTTCTTCAGTTCGCGGAGGCCAAGCTTCTGTAGAGCGTCGCCAGTGGCATCCACAACTTGGACAGAGCATGCAAGCAGGCAAACCGTGTCAGAAAAGGAAGAATCGTGAATTCCAGGAGAGGTTTTGGAACAAACTTTAACCTAGCGACCATTTCATCTGTTAGATCGTCCTGGAAGCAAAAGAAGAAATTAAAGTACGATCCGAAAACAAAGAGAAGTACCGATGCTTTCCAATGAATTCGTGAGTGGCACAGTCGAGTTTCACTTCTTCTTTTGAAGAACCAGGCTCGGGATCGTCATGCTGGATGCTGAAAATACAAGATAAAGGAGATCAATGGATCGTGTAAAATTGGTAACCAGAGAAAAACTTACTGTCTCTTTCGAGAATTCCTCCTCAACATCGGCGTTCAAGGTAGCGCATCCCTCTAGCTTACCCATACTCTTTGCCATGGATGAAAGAATATGATATTTTTGCCATCCTTGTTGTACGATCCACCTGGGAAAAGTTTGCTGGGCGTTCCAGCCTCGTCCATGTAAGCATGTGGAGCCCTGATTCGACGAGGGATTGCTCTTGAGCTATTTTTATGAAAGTTTTTTGTTTGTCATTCGCCATGTCCGTCATTGACCGCCATTGACTTTAGCTTGACCAACAGCTTGGTAAAGCGATCTCTTGGAAGAGTGCTGTTGGCCTACACGTCGCTGGCGACCGATCCTCTCGTGGAGAGCTCTTCCCTGCTTGATGACATCGCCACCGTCGTTGGAGCAAGCTTCCAGCGCAAGCATGAGAGAGACTCTGCTCGAAGATCCATCTCGCGGAAGATTTGCAGCGCTTCCGTGCCGGATCCAATCTGAGCGTAGGCAGCGACGAGCGAGAGTTCCAGCACATCGCGTCCTCGTCGAAATCTTTCCTTGCATCGTTGAGGCTATGGCAGCAAATCGCGTGAAGACTTTCCTTGCATCGTCGAGGCTATGGCAGCGAGCATACATGTTGAGCAGCGCCGTGTGGAGCATCTCTAGCGATCTTCCTCGCCATTGCGAGAGGATGGATCGTTCCAGCGAGTTGCAAGCATCCACAACACTGAAGAACGTCAAGCGATCCGGCTTGGGGCCGCTGGGATCTTCCAGCATTCTCTTGAAGAGGTTGACAAGTTCTTCCTGTGTAACCCGAGATCGTATTCCAGTTCACATATCTGCTCTTCATGGATCAAAGGTCTCCCTCGCAGTGTCCAGTGATCCGCTGAGTAGAGGCAATTGGCAATGGAGAGATTATCGCCTCCAGAGCGAATGGATAAGATCCTCGTGAGACATGATCATCGGTGATCGAGATAGACGACTCGATCCCTTCGAGGAGCATCATCAGGGATCCACGATGGTTGTGAGCGCACGCCAAGATCCTTCTCGCACTTGCCAGTTCTGGGCAAATGCTGCGATCGCAATGTTGACCTTCCATCTTGTGAAAGACTCCCAACGCCGCGCGGCCGCACTTCCCTGCATTTCCCTGAGAATATTTCCGGAGAACCTGTGACGATCTAGGCCGCCGTGAATGCGCTTGCCCCGTGAAACGGGTTTCGACCTAGAACATTTCCCGCCAAGCGACTAGGATATTCTATTATATTCGATATTTTGAAACATCCCGCCATTGTTTGCCCTTTGCTTGGATGGAGACCTAAATTGCGCATTGCTCTTCAATGCGTGCTCATCCATGGCGCCGACGCCGGCGTGCGTCGCTAGAATCTCCTCGGCGTGGCACTGGCGTATTTCACTCTCTGGCCGGTCCGATCTTTGGGATCAGGCAGCTAGCCGCCATTCTTGGTGCGTATTTTACAGTTTTCTCGCGGTTTTCTCGATTGAGTCTCGCGCTAGCTGGCTTTGATCGGTACGCGAGACGAATCGATCTTGCAGATGGATGGCGTCGGCCACCGCGGTTGTTCTTGGGGGAAGAAACCCTAGCTTGGCGACGACGGAAGAATATAAAGGTCCATTCCTTGATGCTAACTTAGTAACTATTTTATTCTCCAGGATCACTTTGGTTTTTACCGATGGTTTTCTATCGAGCTATAAAGGTATGGGTTAAAAGCCAGAGGTCATATTGTAAGCAAGAAAATGGCAGGAGGTCGGCTCGGGGAGCCATGGAAGCGCCGGCGAATTGCGGCACCAGTGGCATCGGAAATGGGAGAGATCCATGCTACCGAGCTTGAACTTCTCGGCGAGGCGGCAGCGGTCGGTAACGAAGCAGTGACGACGAGCTTCAGCGATTCCTGGCCAGTAGTGACAGATGATCCCGCAAGAACTTCTCTTCCCAGGTCTTCATCATCCATCCAGCTTCCAGCGGTCGCAGCAGAAGACCAAGTCTTTGTCCCTAGCGATCCAGGCTCCGGATTTGATCACCTCGGCGACATTCAGCGGTCGCATGCGAGGATCGGTGGCGAGGCAGCGACGGATGATCCTTTTCCAAGCTTTGGTTCGCTGACAAGCTTCGCGGATTTGTCATCTTTCCAGCGCAGCTCGACCTTAGCGATCGCAGCAAAAGTGGAAGCCTTCGAGCAGCCGGGAAGCACAGCTCAGGATTTCTCTCCCGTGGGAGTGGTGGCGGCCACCTTGGTTCCAGCGGTCGCAGCGAAAGACCAAGCCTTCGGTGCTAGCAGTTCAGGCTCCGGCCTCCGCGGCATTCAGTCCCATGCGGCGATCAGTGGCGAAGCAGCGGCAGGAGATTATGGGCCTGTAGCGACGGATGATCCGACCAGCTTGAGCGCTAGCGATTCCAACGTCCAGGTGTGGGAGGCAACGCAGGATTTCTCTCTAGGCGAAATAGCGGACGCCATCGTACGCAACTATTTCGATGGCAAGCTTCCACGGGACTCCGCCAGACCAGCCGAGGCCATCATGCGCAACTATTTCGATGGCACGCCTTCATGGGACTCCGACCGAGCCCAGGTTTCTCCTGTGAGAATGACGCCGGCCAGCTTGGGCGATTTATATGGCAGGCTGGAGTTCTACCAGACGGTACGTGTAGCTCAGGCGGTAGAAATGGTCGCACACTCCTTTGGCGATTTCCATAAGTACAGGAGTTGGCATCCATGGGCTTTCGAGGAGGCGCACCAGTTCTCTCGACACGACGATCCAACGATGGTAGAAGTGGAGAACCAATTTTCGTGGGCTGAAGGGGAGCTCCCCCGAGACGACGACAATGACACAGTAAGCTCGGAAGGTGATCTCCATATGGAAGAAGAAGGAGAAGAAGACGAGCATGCAGTGATAGAAGTGGAGGACCAGGCAGCAAGAGAAGAAGAAAAAGATCATGAAGCGGGAGAAGAAGACGATGTAGACAAAGATGAATTCGCACAGATAGAAGAGGGTCCAAGAGTAGACGATGCTCAATGCGACGGGCTCGAGAGCAAAGACGACGAGGCAGTGGAGATACAGGTTCTGGCGCACCAGTTCCCTCGAGACGACGATCCAGCGGAAATCCAAATTTCATGGGACGAAGCTGTGCAGGAGCTCCTCCGGGACGGCACAGAAAGGTCGGAAGGTATGGAAGAAGTAAGGGAAGACGACGAGCACGCAGTGATAGAAGCGGAAGACCATGCAGCGAGAGAAGAAGGAGAAGATAACAAAGCAGGAGAAGCAGACGATGTAGACGAAGATGAATTCGCACAGATAGAAGAGGATGCAAGAGTGGACAATGCTCAATGTGATGGGCTTGAGAGTGAGAACGACGAGGCAGCGGAGATACAGGTTCTGGCACACCAGTTCCCTCAAGGCGACGATCTAGCAGAAATCCAAATTTCGTGGGACGAAGCGATGCAGGAGCTTGTCCGAGACAGCACTGCAAGCTTGGAAGGTATGGAAGAACTACGACAAGAAGACGAGCACGCAGTGATAGAAGCGGATGACCATGCAATGAGAGAAGAAGAAGAAGAAGAAGAAGAAGAAGAAGAAGACGAGGATGTGGTGGTAGACGAGGACTTCTCACAGATAGAAGAGTATGATCCAGGAGTGGACGATGATCAATGTGACCGGCTCAAGAGTGAAGACGACGAGGCAGAAGTTGACAATTGGATAGTCGAGCCTAAAGAGGACAAGGGTCCGACAGGAGGTGCGGCAGTGCCAGATCTCGACGAGCAGGCAAAAGACGACTATCTCGTGGCTGTGCCATATCAAACACTGGAGCCTGTCGATCAACTCGTGGCAGTGGCAGTACGAGATCCAAGCATGGATGAGGAATCAAACGACGATGATCTAGTCGTGGCAGCGAACGCAGCGTCAGTGCCAGATCCAGAAGCTCCGGCGGCTGTGGAACCAGGTTTGCCACACTTGTGCATTTGTTTTTCATGATCCCTTTTATTTCTTTGCAGACTTCTACGAACAGTTCTCTCCGGATTTCTGGACTTTGCCTCGCAGCTACGACCAATTTCTCGACAATTTGTTTTTACAAACGACCCTTTTGTTCGATCTCATGTATTAATTCGCGCCAATAATATATTTGTGCCCTATCCCCGTGTAAAGGAAGAACCTTAATGGAGATAGCTGTAGGATGGAATCCAGCGGTGGGCTATCGCGTGACGCAATGGTTCCGCGGCGCCCGGGGGCAGCAGATTCTCAGAGTTGCGAGGGCGCTGTTTCATCAGTCTGGGCTGGAGCTGGATGAGCCGGCGGGTGCGTGGTTTTTTGAAATCCTTCCAGACGGGAGTGTTTCATCCACTGTTTCGGAGGTGAAATGGAAGATCTGGAGTGCGATCGCTGTGTGCTTGTTGGATTGCCCCGTGCCAGACGCTGCCGTGCACCTGTTGATTGCCTCCGACTATTTCACGCGCAGGGAAGGACGACAAAGGGAGATTGGTCATCACAGGTATGATCATTTGTGTGCACTGCGTCTTCATTGCTGCAAGCCCCAGTGCCACTACATCGTCGCCAAGCTCGACAAGGTGAGATTTTTCTCTAGAAACCATTTCATCTTTGTGAAGAATTCTCTATGGTCTTGCAGAAAATGGCCGAGGGATGGGTGGACAAGAGTGACGAAGAAGTGATAGCAAGTATGTGTTCCTTTGTTCTTTCCCCTCCTTTTTCTTGGTTACTGATGGCATATATGATCCAGATGTAAAGAAGGTGGTGGAAGGAATTCCCTCTCCCCAGCACGCACAATCGCGTCTCTCGGATGCTATGCGACTGTTCGATCTGAGTGCGTCGCTGGCCGACCTCGTCCTTGCATGGTTTTTGATCCGGCTTGGGAACGACGAGGAGCAATCTCTGGATTGGCTCGTCTATTCCGAAAAGAAGGCTATGGTGGATCGTCACGCTGGCGGCAGGGGCCAATTCGAGAATCTCCTCTTCTTCTTCTTCCAGAATGTCAAGATTTTTGATCCACCATCCCCGGAAAGAATTGAAAAAATCTGTGCCTGGTTCTACGTTCTACCGAAGGTCGAGTTCAGAGGCATCGATATCACGAGTGCTGTCCGCCAGATACTTGTGGTACGTTATTGGTTTTCTATTTCCAGATGTTTGACTCCACGTCTTTCTCATCTTTTCAGCATTTCATAGGTGCGCGAATTTTACGTTTATCATTTGGTGACCATGAATGCCTCAAGCATTTCATTGAAGACCACTCGCAAATCTTCCACAACTTTCGACTGTATCTGCGATCAAACATCTACAATTGTCACAACGTGAGCGCGCTGATTGGTCGCCTGCTGTTCACTTGGACGAGAACGAGCAAAGGGCAGCGTGATCACGACGAGCTCAAGGAGCTGTGCAAATTCACCGGCAACAGTTTCGTGGAGCACGTCAAGTCCACACTCGGCTCAAGCAACTCTTGTGAAGACGAGCGCCAGCTTTTGTTTCGTGCCGCGGCCAGAGTGTTCGGGGAAGATTTCAGTGGCCAGTTTGTGACCCTGTGCGCGAACTCGCAGTGGGAGGACAATGCCAAGCTCTTGCAGACAAGCGAGCTTGGAGAAATCATGGAGCTGGCGAAGCAGGGACAGTTCCAAGTTGCTAATCCTCTCCCCAAGAAGGTTGTGACCAGCAGTTGGCTCGGTGAAATAATCCTCTACTTGGCCAATGTAAGTGTTGTTTTCTCGTTCTTGCTTTGCCTTATTGTTCTAAGCACGAACCTTTTCTTTCAGCTGGTTCTCGAGGATAGCATGCCATACACCTTTGATCGTACAACATGGATACAGGATTGTGAGTATATCAATTTCAACTTACACGCTTCTTCTAATGTGATTTTTGATTTGCAGGCAGAGTATTACTTATCGATCCCGTCATAAACCGTCAACACATGACGCTGTTATTAACCTCTAGTCGCCGTAAGGAAGGGGTTTACTTGGCTGAGACTGTGACAAAGAAGATCTGCCAAGAGCTTGGAGCGTGGATTCACTCCCCAAAGACAGTGAAAAAGCTAGAAGCTAGCTTGGAAGACATAGATAATGCCCTGAGGGATGTTATGTTGCGCGCTGCTGGGGGTGAATTTAGTGACAAGCACGAAACTTTGCTGGCTAAGATGGCCAAGCTACTTGGATTTGGAAAAATGGACGGTATGTATGGACTCGCCAGAGCTTATGTTCTACACGGCATGCCTGGAAAAGGTGGCGGTGATGGCCATCCCAACTCTAAAAAATCTAGTAGCATGGTACGATGGCTATACTTCAATCCCCTCAAGCGCCGGGAGATGACAAAAAAACGATGTTTAGAGTTTCAACAAAGAAAGCGGTGTTGCATTGCCACGAAGTGATCTAATAAGATATTTTTCAAACTTTGACAACAAAATCATAGACCCTTGGAAAGAACAGAATGGCCTGGCGACGAGGCATCCCTCCAAGCGCCACGCTCCGTCTCCGCAGCTTCCAGCAGCGTCGACCATCGAGGGGCTCCAGCAGTGGTGATTCGAGGTCATGGGCGGCAGTAAGCGCCTCTGATCCTGCTGCAATCTCCACGCTTGCATCGATGCGGATTGCGAGCCCCGTGACTAGCGACTCCAGGCTCGCATCTAGCGATGATCAAAGCTCCGGGATAGCAGCGATGCTCAAAGCTAGGAGAGACGTCGTGGCCCTCAGATGATGAAACCACCACGAACAATGACGATCCCCATTGATGAATCTTCACCATCGTCGTCTCGGCTTCGCACCTCAGCTAGCTTGCCAGTGATCCCAGAGGCAGCAGTTCGGGACGAGGAGAACGTTCCAAAAGAGGAGGAGAGGACATGATTCCCTACATGGATGGTTTTCTCTGGGATTCGATCGAGCAGCTGGAAGTTGCAGCTCACTTATAATTCTCTCTCCAGATCGAGTAGTGACGAGGTGCATTTCCCATGGGGTTTTGGGGAGCTGGAGCTCGCAATGCAGGACCTTCCTCCTCTATATAGAGGAGCCAATGATATTGAGAACCCTTGCTGACTCCTCGATGAGCCAACAGGCGCAGCACCACTGGCAACACTGCTAGACAGGACTTTGCAAAGAATACCAGATCTATGAGGCCTAAACCTCGCACCTTGCCAGCAGGAATTAGGAGCCATGTAAGAAAAAGAAGTCTTTTATTTTGGTGTGCAATTTGTAAATTATATGCATGTTGTCAAATCTAATTCATCCCATGTGTCAAAATCTAATTCATTGCAACACAAGATCTCATTGTGTGCCCAAAACATGCAATTTCCACATTGCACAACCCCTATTGCTTGATACAGAGAAGCACATTCTTTTAGAAATAGGAGAGGAGTGGGATGTTGATCTTGCTGAAGAATATGGCATCAGTGTTGTGATGAGGAAGAAAAGATCTTTGATGATGTTGTTGCAAAGCAAAAATATAAGATTATTGATGTTTATAGTGATATTAAAGAAGTAAAAGATCTATTTACTTCACATGGACCTTAAATTTTGAATTAATCTCATGTCCATGAGTACCATTGATACATCAAACATACCAAGAATTATAGTATTATGAAATGAAAGTTGCCACCATATATTTATCACAATCAAAAAGTTAATTGTTGGTTGTAGATTGTTAGACTCAAAACCCTAACAAAATTTGTGAGACATATTTCTTTATAATAGAATAATTATATCAAAACTAATTTAAAGTCAACTTCTTGGACAAAGGTTTTTCACACTTTGTTTGTTAAAAAGTTGGAAAAGGTTAATTTTATAGACCAGCTACTAAAGATTAATGAAAGGGCTTTACTTTAGTCTTACGAACATATATAATGATTTATTTGTAAAATTTTATTTTGGGATGTCACCAAACTCAGTATTATTTAAACCCAAAGACAAACCTTAAGTACAGTTTAAACCCAAAGATGTTTAATTATAAATATCCCAAAACCTTTAACCAATTGGAAAAAAAGTGCATTTGTTTTCATAAATTTTTTCCTTTTATATTTAAATTTTTATGGACTACTTCTTAAGTCATTCCCTTTAGTTGTTTACACTATTAGAAGTGTAATGTTTCATCAAAAGTTTGAACTCATTAAATATATAATAAAAAGTCAAGAAGAATTTTCCATTAACATTGATTAATGCTATTCTAAGGCTCATATTTTTTTGCTAAAACCACTAGTCAACTTGATCAAATCTTGTTTAATAGAGAAGTTTGTAATGACTAATAAGTTAATGCTTTATATTTAGAGAAGAAATTGTTTTCATTGCCAGGTTAAACATCATAATAAAATGTAAGCTCTTTAGATTTGATTTTGCAAAAGGTCACCCATCTTAATACTAAAGAACCCCAATAAATCACTTTTCAAATTATTATTGTTAATTGTTTATAATCAATTATGCTTCTCTATAAATTCACACTTTTATGGATGGAAATTGGAAGGTAAAACTCTTTTTACTCTAGGTAAACTAGATTGCTAAATGTTAACCTATTATCTTGACTTGAGTGTAGCCTAATGGGGGAAAATTGGACCAGGGTTTAGAGTTTAGGTTAGGGGTTCTAAGAATGATGCAAAAGCTGGAGCCAGTAGGAATTTAGGGCTAAGGACTTGATCATATGTCAATATAACCCTTCAAGTCTAGCTTAACAAGAGTAAACTAAACTACTAACCCCTGAAACTTACATGTCTATAATAAAACATCATAAAGTAAAAAATGAAAACCACATACACTACAAGTGGGAGTTGAAAATTTTAACATTAGTTCATGACTTTATACTTTGATAATATGTGTTTAAATTTGAAGCACAAGATGAATCAATCAAGGCATCACTCACCTATCCTAAATGGTGCTGTGCATTAGCCTTGATCTAGCAACTTGGTGACAATCCACTATGCAGTGAAGCTGCTAACCCAAACCACACAAGCTCTCTTCCCTCCCTCCATAGTCCTCAGAAAGTACTCTTAAGATTTTCACTTCCCACCCAAAAACCATTCGAACAGTTCGTACAGTGCTCTCACTTCTTGTATTCTTCTTTGCCTTTCAGCTGCTGTTGCAAATCTTGTAAATGGCTCTCAAAAGAGTAAAAAATGATTACAGAGAACTACTGTGGCTTGATTGCTGTTTAGTTGATCAGCATTGTTGCCGGATCAGCATGCAGCAGCTCGGAACCCATACTTGATTTCCAAATTACCATCTTTGAAACAAGAAAAAGAAAGACAATAAACCTCGAATGTTGCAGGACCAAGTCCGCATGGAGCAGGGAGCGTCTTGGCCAAGCGTGCTTCTTAGAGAATAGAGAAAACTACACGCCCTGATTATGGCATCGCTTTGCCATCTTGGAGCTGAAGCAATCAGTGGAGGAGCTTGAGCGCGATGCAAATCTTTACGCACTTATAGTTGGAAGCGGGCAAAAGAATCCATCGCCATTCGATGGTGTGTGGAATGAGGAAGAACAGGCAACTCGTGGAAAATCTTCCTATCAACATGGGAGGATTCCAATGTTTTCCAATGTTCTCTCATTGATAATGCTCTCATCTGAGCTCTCACCTCGAGCTCCATCTTGCGCTTTCACCGTTTTGCAAGATGGAGCTCGAGGTGGTGAGTGACAATCATCAGTGCACTTGAGTCTTGAGACAGCTTCTCAAGCGCAGTGGCCACATTCTCGGATCAAAGGGGGCATTCGACATGATGAACCACCATGATAGGCTTACGAGCACTCACATCGAGCTATGGTGTGTTTTAAGCTGCAGTGTATTCTCCAGGCTGTGAATGGAGACGACGGAAGATAGATAACAGCTCCCATCTCCGATTCACGGCACCTGGCCTTCGCGAGATCCACCACCATTGTGGTCCACGCTCTGTTTTAATGATCACGGTTGCCTCCACTCCCATAGGATCTGACAAGCAAGTTGAGGAGACTGACATCTTTTTCCAATCTAGTTTCGACGATTTGGAGTTGGTGAAATGCCAGATTCATGTATGACGTCTCCAGCTTGCCGCTGGTGCTGCTGCTCGATCATCGTCTGGTTTTGTTAGATCTTTATAAAAGATGAATTCCAAGCTAGCCTCATCTTCTCTTTTTCTTTTCCCTGGTGGTGACACTGCGAATGGTGGTGCCACCGAAGGTGCTGTCCCTGCTGGCTCAGCGTTGGCTCGTAGAGGAGGAAGATCCTGGATTACGACCTCCAGCTCCCAACATCCGACGGAAAATGTACCTCCTCCTCCACATTCACTACTCGATCGGGAGAAGAGGGCCCGCGAGCTGTAACAACTTCCAGCTGCTCGGAATTCCAGGAAAAACCGTCATCCACGTATAGCATGATCTCCTCCTTGTCTGGAACGTACTCCTCGTCCGCCACTGGGATCACTGGCAAGCTAGCCGAGTGGCGAAGCCAAGAGGACGGTGAAGATTCATCACTGATTGCTAGCGTTTCTGTAGTGGTGATTTGATCATCTGGGGGCGGCGACCAGTGTCACACCAGCGCCCGCAGCAGACGGGGTCGGCCCAAAGCCCCGCCGGCGACGTCGCCTCTTGCAGCCCGGAGCTTTGATCATCGCTCGGACTCGCGGGGCTCCCTATCCGCATCAATGCAAACCTGGATGTACTGTCGGCTTCCTGCTGGAGCTCGTCGGTGCTCGAGGCTGCTGGAAGCTGCCGCGGAGACGGCTCGTGGAACTTGGAGTGCTGCATCGTCGATGGGATCCTCCCCCGGCCATTCTATTCTTTCTGGTCTCCACTTCTCTTTGTGGGATGCCGCCTTATACGATTTCATTTAAGAAAAGAAGGTCCAAAAAACCATGGTCAGTGATAAACTTATTAGATCGCAATGCAACACCGCTTTCTGTTGAAACACCGTTACTCTGCCAATTCCCGGCGCCAAAGAATTCAATCGTGAGGCTTTTACCATATGCATACTAGAGTTGGAATAGTCATCCTTTCCAGGCATGCCATGCAGAACGTAAGCTCTGGCGAGTGTCCATGTTTAGTGGCTTGGCCATCTTAACCTTCAGAGTTTCGTGCTTGTCACCACAGTGGTGTGCGACATGACATTCATCAGGGCATTGTCTATGTCTTCCATGCTACATTTTTACTGTCTTAATGACGGTAAGAATGTAGGGAAGACATAGCCAATGACCTGAGGAATGTCATGTTGTGTGAATTCGAATCCACGCCCCAAACTCTTGGCAGCTCTTCCTCGTCACTGTAACCCCTTATAAATGGCAACTAGATCCTTTGCATACAAATCAAAGCCACACAAACAACACACTAGAAGAACCGTGTAATGTTTGTAATGTGACAACTAGATCCATATGTTTTTCAATGAAAAGATCACAACCTGACGTTAGGCGTGTGTGATTTCAGCTATTTTAGAAATCAGAGGCAGCACCTCATAAATATCTACTTTCACTGAGACTTGAACTCAAGACCTCCTGCTTACTAAATGGGTGCTCTGACCAAATCAGCTATGAAAACCATGGCTTAAAGGTCTTCAATGTAAACAACTAGGAATCTTGTGTGAGTGATTTGGCCCAATGGCCCAATGGATAAGGCGCTGGGCTACATAACCAGAGATTCTGGGTTCAATTCCGCTGACGTTGTTTTCCGGTCCTTACAAAAGTCGGAAAAAGTAAAAAAAAAATAAAAGAAAAAGAAAAATGGCAGCAACCTGTATGAGAAAACGTGTAACA